CCTGAAATGTTTGTCTTTTCATCCTGAAATGCGAGGCAAATGTTGGATCACAATAATTAGGAACCACAGTTTCCACAAATCCCTTCACTCGATTGGGATGTTCTCTTTTATTCTGGGCAGCAAGGGTTGTGACTGTATCATCGAGCGTATTTTGCAGTATTAAACACGTATTTATACTGATTTCATCAGGCTCCGAAAATTCTTCAAAAATAACACAAAGAATGGCCTTCTCAGCAGCCATAGTTGCAACTCTTGCGTCATCAGAACAGGGTGTTCAACGCACCACCGTTTCCGTTTAAAAAACGTTGTGCACCGTTTTTGTCGGGGCTGAACTCAGCCCAGGTCAGTTGCGGTTGCTTCCGGGCGAGCGGATTCTCCGCAGCTTTCTCGTCTCCGCTCTGTCACTATGACTCTTCAGGATTGTAGTGCGTTCTCAGTGATTTGCTGGTCTGTGGCAGATTGAATGCGCGAGGTAAGCTGTCAGCGAAGCACTCGCACAATGTGCTGTTGCTGTCAGATCTCGATTGCCGAAAATCACATTCTGTTTGATGCAAAACCAACTCGACAAAATCTAAAGAAAAAAAAAACACTGTAACTGTATAAATATAAATATAAATATAAATATATAAACTATAAATATATTGCCTAAGCGGTAGCCTAATTGGAAATGTTTATAAAAACGTGGGCTATATACAATTTTAAGAATAAAAAACATCAGGAAAAGAAGGAAAAGAAAGTCCTCTGCACATTTTGAACATTAACATGTTGTTGTTCCCATTGTTTTGCGTATGCTCGTGTCGTTAAAGTCCTTCTCTGATTTTATTGTTGTTTGCGGTGTTGCAAAGTTACTTGGCAATACTTTAAAGATATTATTATTTTGGGTATTTTGCATGGTCTGTTATTGGAGTAGTGTCACCTGGGTGGGAGTTTTAACTCCTATTCACTAAAACTACAAAAATAAAACAAATAAAATAAAAAAACTTTAGCGGATGCAGAGACATATAGAGCGGGGGAATCCCTCATCTCTCTCTGAATATTACGTAGGCCTATCATAACGTAACTATGTGTAAACGTTATTTGGTGGTTTTTACTTGGAAAACCAGCTATATTTTTTCTAGCATTCGAATAACAATGGATAAACCTGAAACGATAGAAGAAGGATTGGAGATTAATTTCATTTACAAATAAGGTAGGAAATGTGCATACTTTTAAATCGACACCTGCCACGGTGTTTCTTAGCTATTTGTCAGCTGTGATCCCTTTTGTGTGTCCTAAAAGCCTATGGGGGTGGATCTACTCACAATAAAAATAATAAGGCCATATAGATCATAACACTCGGGAGGTAAGAAGTGGATTATCCTTCACCTGAAATGTTTGTCTTTTCATCCTGAAATGCGAGGCAAATGTTGGATCACAATAATTAGGAACCACAGTTTCCACAAATCCCTTCACTCGATTGGGATGTTCTCTTTTATTCTGGGCAGCAAGGGTTGTGACTGTATCATCGAGCGTATTTTGCAGTATTAAACACGTATTTATACTGATTTCATCAGGCTCCGAAAATTCTTCAAAAATAACACAAAGAATGGCCTTCTCAGCAGCCATAGTTGCAACTCTTGCGTCATCAGAACAGGGTGTTCAACGCACCACCGTTTCCGTTTAAAAAACGTTGTGCACCGTTTTTGTCGGGGCTGAACTCAGCCCAGGTCAGTTGCGGTTGCTTCCGGGCGAGCGGATTCTCCACAGCTTTCTCGTCTCCGCTCTGTTGCTATGACTCGTCATGATTATAGCGCGTTCTCATTGGTTTACTGGCCTGCGGCTGATTTCATGCGCGAGGTAAGCTGTCCGCGAAGCGCTCGCCCAAGCAGAAAAATGTGCTGTTGCTGTCAGATCTCTGTTGCCGAAAATTACATTGTGCTTGATGCAAAACCAACTCGACTAAATCAAAAGAAAAAAACACGCTGTAACTGTATTTTTATGTTTTCTCAAGAAAAACAAATGTTTAAAAGTCCACTGAAAACATATCTTCTTACATTTTTGGCTATAGACAAGGTATTCATGTTGAAGATATAGCCTACGTTATTGTCAACATGCCTAATTGGTAAATAAAAAAATGTTTATAAAAACGTGGGCTATATACAATTTTAAGAATAAAAAACATCAGGAAAAGAAAGAAACATGAATCCTCTGCACATTTTGAACATTAACATGTTGTTGTTCCCATTGTTTTGCGTATGCTCGTGTCGTTAAAGTCCTTCTCTGATTTTATTGTTGTTTGCGGTGTTGCAAAGTTACTTGGCAATACTTTAAAGATATTATTATTTTGGGTATTTTGCATGGTCTGTTATTGGAGTAGTGTCACCTGGGTGGGAGTTTTAACTCCTATTCACTAAAACTACAAAAATAAAACAAATAAAATAAAAAAACTTTAGCGGATGCAGAGACATATAGAGCGGGGGAATCCCTCATCTCTCTCTGAATATTACGTAGGCCTATCATAACGTAACTATGTGTAAACGTTATTTGGTGGTTTTTACTTGGAAAACCAGCTATATTTTTTCTAGCATTCGAATAACAATGGATAAACCTGAAACGATAGAAGAAGGATTGGAGATTAATTTCATTTACAAATAAGGTAGGAAATGTGCATACTTTTAAATCGACACCTGCCATGGTGTTTCTTATTTGTCATCTGTGATCCCTCTTTGAGTGCGTCCTAAAAGCTGATGGGAGGGGTGGGGGCTCTTGGAATTTTTTCATTGTCTAATTTCATGTTCATATACAGAATAATGGGATGTGTTTTATACATGCTGCATTTAAACAGTTATTCCAGCCTATGAATCTTGAAGCTTGAAAGTTGTAGAATCTTGACAACCGAGTCAAAGATAATTGGAGATAATTGACAAAAGGCTAACTTTTCTTCATTTCTATTCTTTTCAGCTGAAATAATGACAATTAAAATTTCATGAACAGACTGAATAATTAAAATCTTACCCACTGTTGTTTAAAATGGTACAAATTATGGCACATAGCTTGAAATGTATACAGTTCTGTGTTATTGTCTTTAGGATTAAAACAATTAAAAGGATAAATGTAAGAATATGTTTGGTTACAAACAGAGCCAGAATATGTTTATTCAAATTTCATTCATACTGAACTAACTAGTGAGTAAGACTAATTATGATATTGATATTGTGAACTCGGCTTCAGTGTGAAATCAGGTTCAGATCCACTTCCACTGAACCGATCTGGGACTCCAGATTCAAGTCGACTGGCTGTGTAGATCAGGAGTTTAGGAGCTTCTCCAGGTTTCTGCAGATACCAGCTCATGTCATCACCAACTCCGCTGGTCCCAGTGCAGCTGATAGAGACAGAATCTTCTGCTTTAACAGACAGAGACTCAGGAGACTGAACCTCTTCATGAGACACTGAGAGAGACAACAAAAACAAAAACAGTCACATTTATGTCTGTTATAAAACCATTAAACTAAATACACTACAAAATAAAAAGCAAAGCACACATTCAAATTTTTAAATAAATTCCACAGTTTTTTTTTTGTCATAATGTAAAAATATATTTTTGTACCTTGAGCAAGTGTCCACAGCATCAGAATAAGAGAAATCATTGTTTCACACATGTTGGTGTCACACACTAATAATCATCAGTGGAGTTTTAAGCGCA